CCAGAACCCTTTTTCCGCTTCCAAAACGGAATAGACTCCTCTGCCAGCTCGCTTCTTTGCCAGCATGCAAATGAGGCGCTTTGGGGTTTCTTGGGGTGTTAACCCCCTATTCTCTGATCCCTGATGGGGGAGGTGAATGGATTTTGCCAGCTGTGCGGGGAAACAGACATAAAGGCCTCTGGTGACAGTATTTATTATCCAAACGGGGTTTGCAGGAGGGGGTCAAATAGACAGAAAAAAAAAAAAAGACTTTCCCCAAGGTGCACCCATTCACACGTTCCAAATGCAAAATATCGATGACTATGTTAGGGGGCAGGGGCTGTTCATTTGTTCCACGGCTATTTCCTGGCGCGTAATGAAGAGTCCTGTTGCAGGACTTGCGTTTGTTTTAGCCACTTCCCCTCTTTCAACTGCACAAATGACAAGCTAATGCAGAGTTGGGAGGGGATCCTTCTCTTAGAACCTCTCCTTGGGTTGAGTGACAGCTGGGATGGGGCGGGGTGCTTCACCTGCCTGCCCTTAGGCATCCTCCCAACCATCCTAAGAGGCGGGTGCTGGTCGGAACCCGTCTTGCAGAAGAAGACATAGAGGCTCAGAGATGAAGGGACTTGCCCAAGGTCACACCCACGGCTTGGGAAGAGGCAGGAAGGGCTCTGACTTTGGCTCCTGAGCTGATATCTCCCAGCTCCCTGGTCACACTGTTGCCCCTTGGTCTTGAGTTAGACTTGTCATTGGTGGCCCAATCAGGATCACCGTAAACAGTGTCCTCGAATCTTTAGAGAGGTCTAGTGGTCCAAGTGATGGGCCTTTGCAGTTGGCCCCTTCTGAGCCCCTGTCCCTCAACCACCCCACCCTGGCACTGGAGAGCCTGGAGGCTCAATGCCAGCTCTGTCTCTTGGTCATGTGACCTGAGCCAAGTCCCCCTCTTCACCTGACTCCACATGTCCATGAAGTGCACGGAAGCTTCCCTCTCCCAGGAGGCTGGAGGAAGGAAGGAGCGAGATAAGGCGGGTCTCCCTGCGGCCCTCCCTCCCCTGACATCCCGCACTCCCGTCTTGCAGAACCTCAAATCCTAGACACAATCCCCCCTCTCTCTCTCTCTTTCTCTCTCGCTCTCTCGCTCCACCGGCTCCCAAATCAGCATTCAACACACATCACTCTCCTTGTGCAATGCCATTATCTCCCGAGGACACAGGCTCCGTTGTCACGGCAACCGAGTCCTTCCACCAACTCTATTTAATAATTTCTCAACAGTGGAGCTGGGCCGGCTTGGGGCAGGGGAAAAGCACGGGCCAGGGGGGGACAGGCTCCGGGTCCTAGCACCTGCGGGGCCTGGGACTCCTTGCTAGGCCTTAGTTTACCCATCTGTAACACGGGTGTTTTGCAATGGGTGGGTTCTGTGGCTCTCAGGCTTAAAACAATGTATATTTTAAAAAATCCTGGGCTGGGGATATGGCTCAAGTAGTAGCGCGCTCACCTGGCATGCGTGAGGCACTGGGTTCGATCCTCAGCACCACATAAAAATAAAAAATAAAATGAAGATATTGTGTCCACCTAAAACATAAATATTAAAAAAAAAAATCCTGAGAAACAGCTTCCCAATTCCAGGAAGAAGGAGCAAGAGATCTGAGCTACTGGAGATGGGTGGGAGATGTGAATGGGATTTAAATCCACAGGAAGAGCTGGAAGCTGCCTTTGGTCATGGACCTCTCCTTGTGCTTAGATCGTCTCCATAATGCCACTTTTAGATGTTTGTGTGATCACTGTGATCCTCCAGGATCAGAGCTGGGATTGGTTAGCAGATGTAGTTTTGCCCAAATCCAGGCCAGCCCATTCTTCAGACATGCAGACTGAGGCTCAGAGAGGGCTGCCTGGGCTCGTGGCAAATCCAGCTCTTCCTCAGAACCTACAGGGATGCTTTCTACCAAGGCCAACTTGCACATTCCTAGGGAAGAGACCCCCTGCCCTGTCCCTTTGCCCCCTCGGCCCACAGCTCATCTTGCTCTGGCCCCCACCTGTGTGGCCTCTGGCTGTTACTTAAGGAAACAAGCCGTCAATCAAAAGTGAGAGGGAAGTACCTATTCTGTGCCCCTCTCTAGGCTGGGGACCTGAAAAGTCCACGGGTACTGTCTTCCTGGTCTTGGCTGGGAGCAGCTCTTTACAGGACAGAAACAATGCCAGGTTTATTATCTTCATGTTCCCCAGGAGAGCCTGCCAAACAATAGGCAGCTCAAAATTTTATTGGGTCCAGTTGTTTGCCCACATCTGCTTCTGAAGATAACTCATCTAGCCTTCCGAGCGGCGTCTAAGAAAAACTCTGGACGCTGCCGCGGGTTGATGTCCACAGAACAGTTGAAGACCCGGAGCTGAGAAAGGCCCCTCAGCTTTGTGACTCCTGTCTGGCTCCGAGACCGGGGAGGGGGCCGTTCTGCCCTGGCCGGGGCTGATGGCAGCCCAGCCATGCTATTGAACTCCTCCTGGGTTGGAGTTTTCATTGAATACCCGCGGCATAATTAACAGTGCAGCATCTGCTCTGTCATTAGTAGCATTCGCTGCCATTTGGAGAAAGGGTTCTTATCTTCCCCAGTCATTAGTTTCGGAGACTATTATGGTGAAAATGGAGGAGGAGAGGAGGAAGTGGGGTGTGTCGCTTCCTTCCCCCCAAATCCTACTTGGAGTGTTGGCATCGAGATGCACGGGGAGCAGCAGATTGTCCCATCTGACAGCCCTAACCTCTTGGCTTTAGAGACCAAGAACCTGCCCAAGGCCCCCTGTGGACAAGAAGCCAGGCAGGAGGGGGCCTCTCCCACCTCTTTCTCAGGACTGTGAGCTTTGGCCTCCAAATTCCACACACCGGGGATCTCGGCACCAGCTCTGCCTTGTGTTAAAATCTTGGGCAACCCCTTGAGCTCCCTGAGCCTCAGTTTCCTTATTGATGATCCTGGGGCAATGACTAATAGAGCTGGGCTCAGCATCTGGGTCACAGTTCAACACTGAAGGAGGTCCTATCTCTGCATAGCCCTGTGGAAGCAGCAACCTGTTAAAAATGTCTCTGTCATACATGCATGCCTTTAAATGGCATCTTTACAGACTATTTCTTTTCCTTCTCTGAGCTACACTCTAAAAAAAAAAAAAGGTACTGGGGATTGAATCCAGGGGGCATATAACTGCTGAACCTCATCCCCAGCCCTTTTTAATTTTTTTTAAATTTAGAGATAGGGTCTTGCTGAATTGCATAGGGCCTCGATAAGTTGCTGGGGCTGGCTTTGAACTCATGATCCTCCTACCTCAGCCTCCTGAGCCGCTGGGATTACAGGCATGTGCCACCACACCCAGCCATAGGAGGGTTCCTGATCTCAAGATTTAGAAACATCCAACCTAGGGACTTAGTTGGCCAAAGCCCTACAGTCAGCTAAGGCAGAAGACAAAGTGCAACAGCAGGATTGGAGCGTAGACAGCACCGGGAAGCTGGTGTTTTTCTGGCTTTGGTCACTTGTGTATTGTTTTAACTTAGCCTGGGTCCTTGCGTGGTAAAGTCGGGAACAGAGATGGCAAATGCAAAGAAAAAAAGCCCCTCATCTTCCTGCGTCTCCTTGCACAGTTATGACGACTCAGTGTTTCTTGGAAGGGTGAATGGGGGGAACAGTACCCAGGGGTTGGCATCAGCAAGATGTATCAGAACTTAGGTGCTAGCTGGGGTGAGTGTCTTCACTACCCTTAGCTTTAGGGTCCTCTGGCAGCTGGAGAGGGTATTGCACTCCTCCCGCAGCAGCATCCTCAGCATCAGTGAAGTAAGAATCACAAGTCCCAACCCAGGGGACGGGGGCCCAGTTAGTGCTCCAGGCTCAGTGATCCACCCAGGCCACTGGGCAAGTTCTCGCTTCACCTTGCAGCCAGAGGGTGTGACACATCCTCCCCCTGCATCCCAGAGAAAAGCTTCTAAAGCTCCTGATAGGGTCACAATCTTTACCATGACAGTAGTCCAAATGCTGAGGGGAGTGAGGGGGTGTCTGGGCTGGGCTGCTTGCATCTGGCTCCCGCGCTGGGTCCCAAACAACCCCGAGGCCCACACAAGAACATTTTCCCACACTCTTCTGGGTGACCAACACTTTCAGGTCCTTCTACACATGCTCACTGGGCCCTGGTGTTTGTTTTCACCTGAATTCTTTCAGATAAACATGCTTGCGTGCATGCAGGTGTGTCTGAGAGCAACCAACCCCCCTCCTCCCTGCCCAAGTCTGGCTACGGCTGGGGGTACCCTGACCAAATGATCACACTTTGGAACCCCAAACTCTGGGAATGACCCAGGAGATATTCTTCCTCTGGCCAGAGCTCAGATAAGCCTCCAACAAGATGCGAACCTCAGGGTTGTGCCTTGCCGTGCCGTCCAGCAAGTCTCTGTCCCTGGACCCTAGGTGTTCTGCTTCCTACCAGAATCGGGCTCTTCTGGGCTCCGTCTAGTGGGGATACCTGGCGAACTTCGATTTTGGTGTGGCAAAGGTGATTCCCATTGGCTGGGAAACCAGGGAACGGAGATGAAGTTTTGGGGTTCTCAGTCTCAATTTCCCCATCCAAAAGATGGGGATAAGAATAGTAATAATATTGATGACAATAACTTCACTGGGAGCTCCCAGGGCCGTGGCAAGCTTTGACTGCGAAAATGTTTTGAAAACTATGAGATTCTGCCTCATTTTTAAGTTCCAAAGGGAATTCATTTGGGTCAAGGTCATTTTGATTTGGGCTTATGAGAAAACTAGCTTTAACAGAGTCTTTCCTTATTTGGCAGAGGATTCTTCTCCGGAATCTCAAGGATCATCCCCCTGCACAAGTGTGCACACACACAGCACTTCATAGAAGATAAAAAGATAGAGCATTTGCAAAAGCTTTTTTTTTTCTTTTCTTCAAACTGTAAAGTGCCATTCTCATGCTTGAGAGCAGCATGGTGGTCACTAAGTCCCAGCAAACTGTAATACTATTAGACACCAAAGGTCTCCACTCACCTGCTTGTGCCCTCTCTGCACAGATCTTCTTTGTCAAACAAGAAGGCCACGAAAGCAACCTGCTGTCGATATCTCTTTCAGGGCATCTTTGACCTTGAATGTCCCTCTGGCCAGGTCTGCGTTATCTTAAGACCTGGCATAAGACACAGATCGTGCAGACACCAGGCAGCCGACAGGTGGGGAGAGCTGCAGGTCACTGTCCCAGGCAGCCACGAGAATTCCTGCCTCCCCCACCCGGGCTCATATGTCAGATCACATCGGGCCCCAGAAGCTGGGGGGCCCCCTCTTCACAGCTGAGAAGGCTCTGGCACCCTAATGTGGTCCGTTCCACCTAGCTGCGCATCCCCTGCTTCCAGAGTGCCACAGCCAATCACTCTGCAAGACCTGGCCTCCTTGTAATTTCCAATTTGTGAGAAATGTAAAAATAGAAGGCCATTCGCTGCAGGCGGCTCGCATCAAATCGGATGCCACTTTGTGTGTCATGTCAGATCATGGTAAACGGAGCTGATGGCTTCGTTGGGCAGCTCCGGGTGGCTTCCCAAGCAGTGGGACGGTGGGGACGAGTTAGGAGGCACCCCGAGAGTCAGGGAAAGGTAGCTGGGTGCGGAACATCAGCGCCAGCTTTAAATGGATTTTAAGTCTAGGTCACAAATATGTTGTAACAGGCTGGACACTTGGGTTCGAACCCAGTTCTGCAACTTAGCAGCTGAGGGACTTTGGGCTCAAGTTCAATCTCTCTGTCCCTCAGCTTTTCCCCCGTTAACAAACAGCAGCTATCATGCCACCCCCGGTGTCCCTGAGCTGTGGCTCAATTGACAGCGCAAATGGGGAACTGCTTTGTAAACCCTGCAGTTCCTTAAATGGGGGAGTTGTGGTCACTGCCAAGGGAGCAATACCAGTAGCCTTCCTGTGGCAGGAATCTAACATGGATTTACCATGGAGGTGAGTGAGGCTCCATGCCATTGACTAGCCTAGCGATCTAGTACCAAGTGCCTTCACTGATCCTGCCTGTCAGTATCTTTATGTCTACAGGGACAATGATACTCTGGACTTCACGGGATCTTGTGAAAATTACCTGCAGCCTTATAAGTAAAGCACACAGCACATTCCCTGGCATATCGTCAGCCTGCAAGAACCGACAATTATTAGCATAATTGACAATATTATCATTGCCACGATATTGAGTGGGTATTTTTTTTTTCCTGTTTGTGTCTGAATCCTAGCACTGTGCCAAAATGTCACAGCTTGCGTTCACACCTACAGCCTATGCCAGGAATCGCTTATCTCTGCTATTAGCTGGCTTCCCACTGATGCCACGTCCCCCTCCCACGGGTTCCAAAGGTCTTCAGCTGGGCGAGATATAGAAGAAGGTGTTGGACGTCCAGCAAGATCACGGAGACATTTCCTGGGAAGTCCTATTTTGGGGTTCACATCTGAACTCTCAGCCTTTTCCCTTCCCCTCCACCTCTCTTCAGAGAAGGGGGCAAAGCTGGCGAAAAGGACCACTTAGGTGGTGCCAAGGAGCAGTGGATACGTGGCGATCTCAACATCTGGAGGGTGGGTGGCGGAGGGAGGGGATGAGTTTTACGAATGGAGTCGATTCAAGGTTTTTTCCCTTCTAGCAGGGGCTGCACCCTGCCTACCATACTCCCCTCGAAGAGATGCCCCAGCAACATGGCATGGTTAATTTCAGCTCCGGCCTGAGCAAAAACCGGTCTGCTGTCACTCACACTGGGGAGCGGGGAGGTGGGGGATCTTACTGGATTTGGGGCTCTTGCTGGATTTGGCATCAGGGATCTAACGAGGGAAGAGGGGTGCTGTGCTGATGGAGTGTGGGGGTCCAGGGAAAGCTGAACACACCCTGGGCCAGGCAACAGGGACGGGCTCAGGCACCGTTCTTACACCCAAGGATGGGGTGGGGGGCTGGATTTCAAGATTCGAGAGGCTGGAAGTGTCAGGCAAGGCTGAATTTGAATTTGCTGGGGTTGCACTCTGCCTATGAGCCATATACAAGCAAAAGAGGGGAAAGAGAAGACATCTCCAAATTCCAGCAGGCTTGGGACATCTCTATCTTAGCTGCTAAGCTCACAGCCAAGCCTAGGAATGGTGTCTTTATGTGATGGCAAGAAGCCACCTGAAATTTGTGATTTACTTAGTGTTGCTCTTAGCATATCATATGCTGGGAAGGTAGAGGAACGTCTATTGCTCAGATAGCACTCAGAGAGCAGGTCCAAGGCGATTCACTGTCAACCTTTAAATTCTGTCCTCAATAACCATCCCCCCGACCCACTACCTCAATTTATGAATGTGAAAACAGAGGCCCAGAGACCCACAATAAGGCAAAGTTGGCTTGGGAATGACAAGAACAGAGTCCAAATCCCTGTCCTGCCTCCTCCCAGCTGTGTGACCTTGGACAAATCTCTTTCCCTCTCTGTCTCCAAGTTGCCTTGCCCAAGTAGGTATTAGAGAATATCCATTGAATAAGGTTATTGTAAGGATTGTGAATCCAGTACACTGAAAGATTCCAGCACTTCATTCCTTCCCGTCAACAGGGACTAGAACTTAGCCAAGGTCACGGGCTAGGAAATGGCAGTGCCTGCGCTCAAAGCAAACCCTCCTACAGAGTTCATTCACTCCTGGCTGTGGACGTGGAGGTGACATTTGATTGCCTTCCTGGCCTAATAAGACAGGTAGGTTTTGTAGGTTCCATCACCTTTCATCCAGGCAGATTTCATTCTAAGACATTTATTGAGTTCCCGCTGTGTGCTGGGCCATGCGTAAATAAATTCACATCCTTGAAGCTCCTGGGTCGCTAGCCATGTAAAATCCAGGGCAGACAGAAGATACACAGCTACTGTGCATCTTTCAGCTTTGATGAACTTGGTTTTGCCTGGTCTTTATCTTCTCGGTTGCCTACTCCCTGGCCTTGAGACTCTCTCTCCTAGCTCCATCCAAATCCCTAGGGACCCACTTCTCACCAAGCTTAGAGCCCTGAAATAAAGGGTCTCACATCGGGACAGATGGCTCTCCTTTCATGTCACATAGGGGCTGCCCCTATCCCTATCCGGTGCAGCTCTTAGGGAACCCCACTCTTCGGATGCTCCACTAGACAGGCCCAGCTGTGTCTCCCTGCCTGGGACTCACTGTTTGTCCTCTAAGGACTGGCCACTGAGCCAGCACTTGGCTGGAGACAGAGCGCTTTCTTTGTTTGCAGCCTGCCTGACGATTTATTTCTGAGACTCAAGAGAGGCTCAGCCATTTTGGCCTGGCTGCTCTGGGAAAAGCCCCTCCCACTCCCTAGGGGCCCACACACCTCTGAAGGGCCACTTTGGAGGGTCTGAGGATGCTCTCATGAAGACCTGAGAGGGCAGGCTCAACCCTTCGCATGGGAAGTGCTCCAGAGAGAAAGAGAGGGCTTGCAATACAGGATAGTTCCCACTCGCCGCCTTTGTTTTGGAATTTGGAACTTGAGGTAGACTTTTCAGGTTTCCTTATGAATGCATCCCTCCCCACAAAGTTCTCAATGACAAAAAATAAGGCAATATTCAGCATTAGTATCCCCTGTCTCCTGCCCAAACACCCACCTTGTGTGTGTCACAGATTAAAAAAAAAAAAAAACAAAACACAAGGTCAACCCCAAATTCTACTCAGCCTGACACAGTCTCTAATTTGGGGGGTGCCCCCAAAACTCAGGAGCCATTTTATCACCCACCCCAGCTTCCTTGGTGAGGGAGTGAATGCTTCCACCCCACATCCAGAGGGAACTTGGCATTATCTTTTGGCTTTTTAAAAAAATCCAATCTTCTCCTTAGGGTTCATGTCTATTTCGGGAGGATATTAGCTCAGAGAGTCAGGAGTTCCTTGTCTGGAGACACGAAGCCAAGAGAAGAACAGGACATTGGTGGGAGCCTCCCCCAACCCACCGAGGGATGTACAGGTACAAAGGGACAGTGGCTCATGACGAACTCATGGTCAATGCCCCCCGGGGGAACCTAGGCGGGCAATGAGGACCTTATTTCTTGCAGGGAGGAAAGGGTTGGAGGACCCTGTTTCCTCGCGGCGGCAGGAAGACAGGGTCCTCCAGCCCTTTGAGGCTCCTCTGGCACCCCACATCCCTCGGGTAAAGTCGGGAGAGCGCGGCGCGAGGTGTGTGCGCCCAGTCCCAGCTGTGGCACGCTTCTAAGCCAAGGTTTCTTGAGAGCTTGAGATGTCCCAGGATGGGAGGGAGGTGTACCATCCTCAGGTGGCCCCCCAACCCCGCAGTAGCGCTCGGAGAATAAATGAGGCGCACCGCACCCGCACTATCTCCACTCAGGCGAGGACTCGGAGACCGGGCAAGTGGCGCACGGCCCCCAAACGCAGTTCAGTCCCTGTCACCCTCTGTCCCCTAAGGAATGAATAGGGCGCTTCGACGGCTCCAGCAGAATCCAGACCACCTTGGGGTCCAGGCGGCACTGCCTCAGGGAAGGGACAGACATATGATTCTCGCGACCCTCCTTCGAGCCCCCTTGCCTCCCTCTCGCGCGTCCCCGGGGGGGGGGGTGGCCAGAAGCGCACGTCGGGGTCGCAGGGGCGCCCGGCTCCTTCCTGTGGCACCGGGTGAGAAGAGGCGCGGGGACTGGAATCTCTCGGAGCCCGCCCCCGCTCCCGCCGGGTCCGTGGCGGC